GTCAGAGTAGAGGTAGTTTTGTTCCCACAGCTAAAGAAAGTCAGTACAACTCAGCACCTAGCAGAAATTCTGGAAGTTTCCATTCTGACCCCATAAGCACAGACTGACCCACTAAGACATAAGATGGGAGATATACCCAGGACTAGGGTCCACCCTGGTGGCTCTGGGTGAGCCAGATGGAAAGACCCAGGTGCACTGCGGCACGCGACAGCGGGAGGGAGGAAACTGGAGCTTTAGCAGGCAGCTCTGGCCAGGCGGCGAGCTGTCAACTAGCAGCCCTGCTAAGAGAAGTTTGACAAGGACAGCTTTTTATGGTTCTTTTAAGTTAGCCCTTGAAGTCAGAACTGAGAAGGAGATGCCTATTAAAGCTAAAAGGGACAAAGGGCAGAGTGTAGGTTCACTGCTGCTTCTCAAAAAGGAGAAATTGAGTAAAGGTAAAAGGTAAAGGTGGAAGAAAGCAGGCAAAGAGCATGGGAGCTCAAGAAAACGAAGAAGTCAGAGCATGAGGCCTGAGAAACAGAAGCAGTGGAGGGAGGACTCGGGCCGCCGGGGTCCCATCCCAGCCCCGCCACTGCCAGCAGGGGACCTGCAGCAGCCACTCAACTTCTCTCTAGGACGGGGCGGAGAGAGTTCCTACCTCAGAGGGTTGTCACAGGAATGATATGAGTTAAGAGAATTAAATGGCTTAGAACAGTTCCTGGCACACAGTAAGAGCTAAATTTGTCATTTTTATGATCACTGTTATGATCTTCTAGAAGCGTCCAAAACCCTATTCCAGGACAAAATCCGATCCAAGATGCTACAGAACTCTACAGCTGTCATCTCTGAGGCTCTGCTGACTGGTTCTGAGAAATCACAGCAGACAAGAGCAGAGCTAGCAGTCCAAGGGCTGGGTCTCAATTTCTCAAACAGATAAATGGCTGGGTGCAAAGAATGTCGCTTCAGTCTGCTGTCAGCCACTGGCACAACCAGAGGATGAAGGGTATTTTAGGCAGATGGTTTGCATGCATTTTTGAAAAGAAGGCTGTGTGAGTGCCCCAAATATGTGAGGGTTTAATGAGAACATTCCGCGCCTATCTGACAGTGTTGGTGTAGTGGGTCAGGTCAGCAGAGTACTTAGTAAACTTTGCATGATGTTGTTATGGATGAAGCAGGAACACAGATGGCTGATGGCTCATCACCCAGGCGCTGCAGTTCCTGGAGGGTCTGTCTGCAGCTCTGCCTGTGCAGTTTATCAGCAGCCTCCTGTCGGTGTGAGTTCTCTGGGCAAGGCTCCCCAGTGCGGACTTCCGTGGGGTCAGGAAACTCCACAAGAATATGTGGCTATCGAGTGGTAGGGCTCCTCTCAGAAGGGGGTACTCATTCTGCTCCCCAACCCACTCCTTGTGGCTCCAATGCATGGGCCTCACACTCCTAAATCTCAGGGTCTACATGGTGTCCTCACAGAACATCAGCTCAAGAAAGAAAATGTGAACTGAAGATTTTATAACTAGCTAAACTGTCCTTTAAGTATCAAAGCTTTATAAAAACAGTTTTAAATAGACAAGAACTGAGGACACTGTATCCATGAGCCCTTCTTGAGGGATCTGCTAGAGCAGGAATCAGCAAACTTTTTCAGTAGAAGAAAAATATTAAATCTGCAAGCTATATAGTCTCTGTCTTAACTGCTCAATTCTATTATAGCACAAAAGCAGCTACAAACAATGTATAAATGAACAGGCAGGGCTGTGTTCTAATAAAACTGTATTTGCCAGGACAAGCATCAGCCAGGATTTGGCCCTCAGGCCATAGTTTGCCAATCCCACTACTATGATAGGATGCTCTTCATCTAACCAAGAGATGACTGGGGTCAGTGGTAAAAGGGCTGATGGTGAGCATCTTAGGATGTTTAATTGTAGAGCTACGACTCACACAAAGTTGGATCCAGGAATAGGAAAATCACATGTAAATGTTATATGCTCTGACAAAATGAGAAGAATGCAACTAAAAACAATAGAAAAAAAGGAGAGAGTAGAAGAAAAAGTGAAAGCAGGAGAATCAAATAATAACATTGGTTGTTGTTTAGACAGTGGGCAGAAGTCATTAAAAACTGATGAACCAGGTAGTAAAAGGTTAAAGAGGACAGAGTGCATTTTACAAAGGTATGAGCCTTCTGCACCTCCCAACTCTTGTTCACCCTTCTTTCCTTGCCCATAATGACTTCACCTGTATTCTCCACCTGTACACATTAAAATACAATGTGATACCACTAGGCACACCCACTAGACTGGCTGAAATAGAAAAGACATCTGGCTATTTTTTTTTCTTTTGTATTTTTAGTAGAGATAGGGTTTCATCATGTTGGCAGGCTGGTCTCGAACTCCTGACCTTAGGTGATCTGCCTGCCTCGGCCTTCCAAAGTGCTGGGATGACAGGTGTGAGCCACTATGCCTGGCCAAGAACATTTTATTTATAGAATTGTAGAGAATGTCCCACTCTCTGGTGAAATACTGTATTTGGGGCCCCTCAGAGTCCAAACCTCCTCTCTTCATCCACAAAGGCCTGGTCACATTTAGCCAGATGTTGTGGCGGGCACCTGTAATCCCAGCTACTCGGGGGTCTGAGGTGAGACAATCACTTGAACCAGGAAGCAGAGGTTGCAGTGAGCACAGATCACGCCACTGCATTCCAGCCTGGGCAACAAGAGCAGAACTCCATCTCAAAAATAAAAAAATTTTGTTCACCTAAAAACAAAAGTTGACGAGGGAAAACATCACACAACTCAGTTCAACAAGACTTGAGAGAGGAGTCTTTTCTCTCAGGGTCTTGAAGACAGAATGGCAGCTGGCCAGTCTCCTAAGTGCCTTGTGAGAAACCTTTAAAGCCTAATTCAACAGAACCCCTTTGCAGAGCAGACCCTTAGGAAACTGTTTTTGAAAATTCAAGGAGAAAAAAAACATATCATGTGACAGGATACTTGCTGAGCAAAAATCTCAAAAGTATATGGAGTGAGTGGCGGGAACTTCATAAAGCGAGAATTAAAATGAATCTCCTTCCTTTCTGCTTGGAAGGCTTAGGGACTTGGTTTCTATAGCTCACTAACTATTAAAATTATTAACAAATTATTATTTTCAGTTGAAAGTGGTTGAGGTATTCATTATTCCTCCTGTGCCAAGACTCCGATTTACTCAGAACATGAATTAACCAAAGCAATCCAGAGTTTCTGAATAGTTTTGGACCAGGTTCACTGCCTCTGGCTCAGCAAGCCAGTCAGGGCTGGGTGGCTAAAGGTCTCCGTTACATAATTTACTGAGAACTTAATTGAGACTAATTACTGTCTCTCATTTGCTTGCCTGAAAACCATCTGCCTGGCAGCTGCTATAACTGCGTTTGGTTGGGATGTTTGAATCTTTCCGTGAAGTGAAATAAAGGGCATGAATATTTCAATGTAGATTTATCCCACCGTCACTTTTTATAGGCAACTGCTGCTTGTTTTATTAGCCAGCATCATTAATACGAACTTTCTCTCCAGTGTGCCAGAGCCGGGGTTTAGGGTGGACCCAGCACACGCTGCCTTCGGGGGTCCACCGCCCAGGAGGAGGTGGGGGCTGTGGCTAAGTCAGTGCATGGGGGCGCAGTGCCCGTAGCTCCTGGACTGCTCTGTGACGTGCCTGCTGGGGACCTGTGTCTATCCAGAAGGTGATAAAAGATTGACCACATAGGTTCAGTCGTTGGCACATCCACATAAGAAGCAAATGAGTTTCGCCACGTTTCACAGATGGAAAAACTGAGCGTCAGGAAGTTTAGTAGCCAAGGTCAACAAAGACTTAGCCTAGGAGCCTGAACTACATCTGAGCCTCTTGACTCCTATCAGTACCCAAGCCATAGCAAGGTCAAGATAATCTCAGCAGGAACAGTGTTGTTTAGGCCGTTTGGAGAGCCTTAGGCAAGCCAGCAGTAGAAGAGAGAACATCTAGGTCTTATGAGGAGCAGTTACTTGACATGTTGACATTGGCCAACGGAGAAATGGGGAGGGCCTGCCGGCAGAGGAACCAGTGCCAGCGTGTCTGGGTGAAGGACTAGCCAACAGCCTGGGAAGGGGGAGCACTGAGGCTGACCAGGGCCCGGGCGACGAGGCTGGTTTCCCTTACCGTAACCTACCCTGAGGCTTTTTCTTAGTCCAGAGTCTTACTTTCGTTTCTTTACATATATTCCTGAAAACATCTGCAGTCCTTAGGTGGAACAGTGAAGGCGCATGGGCTGAACAAATGAGTAAATCCTCAGACTGGTTGGGACTTGAATGGTGGGCTCAGGATATGAAACACATTAGGTACTGGGAAGCCATCGAAGGTTTCAGACTGGAGCTGTAGCAGAGGAGCGTAGGTTACTTGGAAAAGAGATTGCATTTTGGGGGGAGTGGCAGTTAGGAGACTGTGATGGCACCCTAGCTAAGGGTGGCCATGGAGATGGGGAGGGAAGGCGGATTTGAGATCCTTCATGGGGTTGGCTCGGTGGGACTTAACAGTTGCTTGAATGTGGCAGAGAGCAGTCCCTGCTGACCCCCATATCCTAACCCTGCATGTCTGGTCTTTGGAAAAGAAGTCGCCACCAGGCTGTAGTGACGGGACCTAGAAGAGTGGTTTGTGACATGCACACCCACCCAGAACTACAGGCATGGCGGGACTCCCTGCTCTCCGCTAGGCTGATGAACACACCAGCCTGAAGCTCCGCAGGTGGAGAGCCGGGGTCCCCTATGCCGTGTTCCCTAGTATCTGAAGGGACATGGCATAGGTGAGGTCTGTAAAACAGAATTATTTTTAGGTGAGTCATGGGAGCAAAGAAGCCACAGACTGAACCAAGGCGGGAGCGAAGCTAACTTAGGAAATGGGTGAGGGAGGAGACGGAAAAGCGGACGGCGGGGCAGCCAGGGAGGGAGCAGGGAGACAAGGAGGAGAGGCTGTCAGCGGCAAAGCTGCATCCGTCATTAGGACGCGTCACGCTCTCTAAACACCCATAGTCACCTGAGTGAGTGCAAGGAGATAGCCACAGCCAACTCCAGCCACCGAGTCCGGACTGGGGCCCCAGGCGTCAGCCATCTCCACCTGCCTCCAGCCTGGATGTCTGTCTCCCTGGGAAACCTCTTTTCAAGTTCACCGTGAACATGGCCTTTACAAGCCCTGCCTACCAGGGTCACTGCTTCTAACTTAGCAGCAGCGCGTTATGAGACACCAGGAACTCAAAATAGACCCACAGAGAGTCACCTTGCAGCTTGGGGGCCTGGCTGGCTCCTGATGGCCCTGGGGAACTCAGGGAGTAAGCTTGCAGCTTGCAGTTAAAGATAGTTGTGGTTGGGGATTCCGGCAGAGCTGTGAATTCCCTTGCTTGTAAAGCTGTGTGCCAGAGCCCCAGGCAGCCAGCTCAGTCCTGTTGGAGCCTGGCCTCTGCCCCTTTGAACACAGCGGCCTCTGTCCCCTTCCAGGACATCCAGAGCCACCTCACTCAGACTGCTAAGCTGCTGAGCAGCTCCCCACCTTGCCCCAGGAACATTTTCTGAGAGCCTTGTGAAATTCCGAGTGTTTTCATGTCCAAAGTGGGGCAGCAGCGGGGGTGGAATGCCGGGGAGGTCTGCTTGTGTGTTTTCACATTGAATAATTTTGTGGGGCCGGGCAGCTGGGCCGGCTGGGCAGAGACTCCTGCTGGTGTTAATCAGTCCCCTGGGTGTTTGCTGCAGCCCACTTGGTTCAGGACTTTGGTGTTTGTTTCTGATGGGTACCATTCCAACGGTTGTCCTGGGAAGACTATGCCACGTCATTAGGCTGTGGGAGTCTTTTTTTTACCCCCCTGAATCTTCTTAGGACAGAATGCTTGGGGCTAACCTGTTAAGCGAGCATGTGTGTGTAGTAGGAATTTGGTGATCAAAACAAAGAAAGTAATGACAAGGACCCGTGAGGAGGCCAGTGATGCAGAAGCATCTCCACGTGTGAGCTGGAGGGAGCTGGGCATCTGGCTGATGGAGCTTAGGCTCAGAACCACTGCACCTGCTGCCTAGGAAAATGTAAAGTCCTAGACTAGAGACCACAGGGCCAAATTCCACAGCAGACAGAGCTTGGTCCACACAGATGTTTTAAGGTTTTAGGATCCATTTCCAACATTTTAAAATCAGGAGATTGCAGTAAGACTCTGGATTTTCAGCCTTACTTTTAAAAATGCACAGCGTCACAACATGTGGCCTCCGTGGGCTGGAGCACAGGCGTGTCTTACACCTGCTAGCACATCTTCAGTGGCCCGTGGTCTCAGTCACTCACTGCAGCCGGGTCATTTGGTACACACCAGCCTGACTGTAGCTTCTGTAAGTATTTTTCTTGTAAAAATTTTCATAGTACAGAAGAGTACTGAGATTAACTAATAAACACATTTGTACTTCCCAATTTTAACAAAGCTTTACAATTGCTGTATTCGCCTCGCATCCGTGAAGTCATAACGTGTCAGAGGTGTGTTATATGTGGGAAGTCCCGTATGATCCCTCCCTGGGGCCACTCTCCTCCTCTCTCCTGTTGGTATGTGTGCATCTCATCCCACCCGGATTTTCAGACTTGTACTGTATGTGTGTATATCCACAAACAGAAGAGACTATGGGTTGGTGTGTCTTAAGTAGTCCCTTAGGGTATCTACATCTGCCTTGCCCCTGGGAACTCCTCAGGTTGCTGCCGTGATTTCCTCTTACATATGTAGTCATTCCACCACTGATGGACTCATAGGTGTATTGCCATTTGGGGTTTAAACGGTTATGGAGTCAATGACATTTTCTGGTGTTCTTGGGCACATATGCAAGAAACTGTATCCCTTGAAGTGGAATAAGGTAGAGGTTGTACACACCTTGAGGCTTACTCCAAAGAGGTTACCTGTAGACAGCTTACATTGCACCAGTACCATGTGAGAACCAGTTCTCCCACCATGGCCAAATGCAGATTAGTCACATATTTTGGTGTTGCCAGTCCGATGGGTGTGAAAGGGCACCTCCTCGTTTGTTTTTTTAATTCCCCTGCTCTGTAGTGAGGTTGAATATTTTCAGATGTTTGGGGGAGGCATTGGTCTGTTGTCACATTACAAAGAACTACCTGAGACTGGATACCTGATCAAGAAAAGAGGCTTCATTGGCTCATAATTCTGCAGGCTATACAGGAAGCATGGCTGGGGAGGCCTCAGGGAACTTACACTCATGGTGGAAGGTGTCGGGGAAGCAGGCACATCCTACCTGGCTGGAGCAGGAGGAAGAGAGAGAAGGGGGAGGTGGTACACACTTTTAAACAACCAGGTCTCCTGAGAACTCACTCACTGTCAGGAGAACAGCAAAGGGGAAATCCGCCCCATGATCCATTCGCCTCCCACCAGGCCCCTCCTCCAACACGAAGAATTACAATTCAACATGAGATTTGGGTGAGGGCCCAGAGCAACCCATTTCAGGGAATGTTTATGTTTCTTTTTACGTGATTTTTTCCTCTATTATTTGCCTATTATCTGATTAGGCTATTTGTCTCCTCCTCACTGATGTGTATATTCAGCCTTACAAAGGAAGAGAACTCTGACAACAGGCTACCACACAGATGCACTTTGAGCATATTATGCTAAGTGAAATAAGCCAGTCGCAAAAGGCCAACCCTGTATGATTCCACTCATGTAAGGCACCCAGAGTAGTAAGTGCACAGAAACAGAAAGTAGCATGATGGTTGCCGGGGGCTAGGGAGAGCAGGCATTAGGGAGTTATGGTTTAGTGGGCACCGAGTTTCAGTGTGGGAAGATGAAAAGCTTTAGAGATAGATGGTGGTAGCGTCTGTACAATAATTTGACTATACTTAACGTCACTGAACTGTACAGCTTACAAAGGGATTCGATGGTAAATTTCATTACGTGTGTTTTACCACAATAAAAAACACACATCATGAAATACCACTTCACACCCACTAGCATGACTGTAATCAAAAAAGACATGATAGGAAGTATCTGTGACGATGGCGATAATCGAGAACCTTCGCACACGGCCGGTGAGAATGTCACATGGTGAGGCTGCATTGGAAAACAGTCTGGCATTCCGCAGATCGTTAAACAGAGGTACCGTATGATCCAGCAACTCTATTTCCGCGTATGTTCCCAGAAGAAACGAGCGCCTGTCCACACAAAAACGTGTGCACAAACGTTTATAGTAGCACTATTCATTTTTTAAAAACTTTTATTTTGCGTTTAGGGGTACACATGCAGGTTTGTTACATGGGTGAACTCGCGTCACAGGGGTTTGTTGTACGGATTGTTTCGTCACCCAGGCGTTAAGCCTGGGACCCCTTCGCTGCTTTTCCGGATTCCCTCCCTCCTCCCATGCTGCACTCTCCAGCAGGCCCCAGTCTCTGCTGTCTTCCCCTCACGGTGTCCATGCGTCTCATCATTCAGTTCCCACTTTCACCTGAGAACGTCGGCACTTGGTTTTCTGTTCCTGCATTAGTTTGCCACGGACGATGGCCTCCAGCTCCATCCGTGTTCCCGCTGAAGACAGGATCTGATTCTTTTTGATGGCTGCATAGTATACCCCGGTGTCTGTCTGTCTGTCACATGTTTTGATCCGTTCCGCTGTTGCTGGGCATCTAGATTGATTCCATGTCTTTGCTGTAGTGAATGAACAGTGCTGCAAAGGACCATTCTTTGTAATAGGCAAAATGTGGAAACAATCCACATTTTTATCGACATATGAATAGCTAAATAAAATGTGGTCAGGGATCATGGCAGGCTAGAGGCAGGACTAGACTGGCAGCACCAACTCGGATGGACAGAGAAATGTGCAGAGGTTTCCATCGTGAATTTCAGCTCTAGATCAACTGGCAAGAACAAACCAGCAACCCCAAAAGACCCACAGACCCTCTGAAGGAAGCGGACTGCTCCTGCAGGACCCGGGAGATGCCCCGAATCCTGTGAGGGCCCCAACTGCAGAAGCAGGAGAGAGACATCCTCCTCTCCAGAGCACACACCCCCGCTGGAGAAACTGAAGGTCTGTTTGCAGGAAAAGTTTCTGACCTTGCCTGGAGCTGAGTCCGTTTAGAGAGCTGAGCGAAACACAGGGGTAGAGGAAGCGGGAAAGGCCCTGGAGGCTCCCTGGGTCCCCAAGCAGGCCATTCCTGCCTGGCACCACAGGGATCTGTCATGAGGGTGGCGAGAGGAGGTGGGGAAACACCACAGGGAGAAGGAAGTCTCCAGCTGAACTTTGAAACAGTTTGAACCGGGAGAGACAGAGCCTCCTGTCCGCAACTCAGGGAAGCGCGTGAATCTGGCGGACAGGCTCCACAGGCGGGGGTAGAACCAAGCCCTTTTCTTCTGCAGCTGGGTGTCAGGCAGCCTGGGGCAGTGAGATTCGTTTGGAAATGCGGTGATCGCGCACCCTCCGCGTTTTCTCTGGGAACTGCGATCCAGAGCTGTTCCTCTTCGGCCGTCTTGGATCCTCCTCCGATACAGTCTTTTTCAGACAGACATGCTGGGGGAGCTTGCCACTGCCGAGCTGCCCTTACAAAAGCTGCTAAAAGGAGCTCCAAATCTTGGGGAAAAGAATCCTGGAAACACATCAAAACAGAACCTCTTTGAAGCATAAATCACACAGGACCTTTAAAACAAAAATACAAGTTAAAAAGCAAAAAGGAAAAAAGCAAAGTACACAGGCAACAAATAGCAGGATGAATGCCGAGTGCCTCACTCTCGGTACTAACACTGAGTGTGAATGGCCCACGTGCTTGCTTCTGGGCTGCTGGCCTGAAAGCGGCCTCAGGGGAGGCAGGGACGGATGAGTGAAGAAGAGAGGGTGGTCTTGGTGCCTCCTAAGAAATGTGGTCTGATGCCTGCCAAGGAGGCTCTGCAGACTCCCCCTCTCAGGGTGGCCCTGAGGTGCCGTGGAGTCAGAGGGGGAGTGTGGGGATGTGTGGGGACCTGTGAGCCTCTGGCCTAGTGTACTTTGTGAGGAAGAGGAGAGGACATGGGATTTCTGTGGCCAGGGGAGCACCGAGAGTGACTGAGAGGCAGAAGCAGCCGCTGGGAACAGGCTGGGAGGTTCCTCCTGCAGACACATGGGAAGGGGACTCTGCCCACAGGCAGTGCCTCATGGAAGAGTCA